CCCCCCCAAAAAAAAAGCCCCGGGATCTTGCTGTGAAGCGTGAGACTTCTACTTTCTCATTCTGGTTTGAGTCTCTCATTTAGGATTGGTTGGAATCTTCCCCACCACCATCACTACCCCTGTTAAATCACTGTGGGTTTTTCTACCTGCCGCAGGTTCCCAGACAGAATAGGAAATGTGTCTAGTAAAAAAAAAAACCCATAAAATGTAATTCTTACAATTAATAACCTGCATAATTAATAAGTGCATACTGTAATTATAAAATACAAGATGTGGTGCTGGTGTGATGATAGCAATGTGTTATTTGTAGATTCATCTGTCCCACTAGTTGGAATTACTTAGAAATGGAAGAAAGTAGGTCCAAACAAGGGAAGGATTTGCAAATATGGTTACTGTTTAAATTGACAATAAACAGCACTAATTTATTGTCATCTACATTCCTGTTAACTAGGAATATTAACAGATAACTGGTTACCTGGGAGCCACTGAAGCTACCTACACACTGAAGGACCTATGTGGGCTGGAATAGCCCTGGCCATGGCAGGGGACTGCTCCAGACCTCCTGTCCCTGTTTAACCAGTTAAACTTACTCTTTAACTAGTTAACTAAATAAATGGGATTTTTAGAACCCTACTGTTAACCAAATTTCTGGTTTTGCTGTATGGATTGTGTCCTGAAGACATCAACTACGTTACTTGTATGTGTTTAAATCTGAAGGTGGTTACTTATTTGAGTTCTCTCCCTTTTACAGGAGACTTATTTTCATCTAAATTATTTTAAAAAATGTACAGTAGTTGGAAAAAAAATGTTAAACAAATTCCCTAATACCAAAAAAGTTTCTGTTGCAAAAATCTAAAGTATTACAGTTTATTTAAGCAGTACTGTAATTTGTGAAAATATTATGAATGCAACTCTATCTTTTGCAATGTCTTAACTCTTGAGCAGTTGATTTCTCAAATCTTTAATATTACAATAATGCTAGTCTTTGCATATAATCCTTCCTATTTGAAGGAGAATGGGGGAGGAGGGAAAGCACCAAGACTACATTAAAGATGTCTTTGTTTTCAATGCATCTAATTCACGCCCACTGAAAGACTCTCATTGATTTCACTGGGCTTTGGATCTGGCCCAGAACGCTTTAAACACCTTGTGCCTGTATAGTAAGATACCAGTATCAGAGTGTTTCTAAGTGAATCAGTTCAGCGGTATTAACTTTAACTGCAGAATCTGCCATGCTTCTCCAGTGCATTTACAAAAATACATGTGCAAAATTCCCAGCTTCAGCATTTTTTTACTGTAAAACTGTTTTGTTGCCCCTTTCCTAGTGAGGACTCTCTAAAACAAGCGTAGTTTGACACTTCTAGCATCAGCCAATTTTTTAGTTACTTAATGCAATTTTGTATTATTTAAAATATGTGGGCAGCTGTTCTCCATTTAAATAATGGAGTAAAATTGGTTCAGCGTTTTAAAAATCTACTCCAGGGCTACTCAACACACGGCCTGTGGGCCACAGCTGGTCCGTGGCCCATTTATTTGCAGCCCGCGGGAGGAAGCTAAAACAAAAAAGTAGCCAATATTATGGTCTTCTGTTGATATGCGTTTTTGGAAATTAAATTCCTGGATTGTCATTGCTCATTAAGAGTGCTGACGTGTGGAAATCGAGTAAATATTGCATTTTATTAATATCAGCAGAACTGACTTAAATAGGTCCTGTGCGTTGTATAGTCTTGCCTTAATTTTTGTATTCATGACCATCAGTGTGAAAGAAGCTATTTGCATATATATTTGCATGTATATGCAACCACACTTAAGTT